ACTGTTTTTGCAGCCGGTTGATTGTTGTCTCTCACTTCCAAATTTCCATGGGATATTTGCAATATCCCACTCTAATACCTACTAATCCATTAAAAATACCCATGAGATAGATTAGGTAATCCACTGTGCCTCACAGATTGTGCTTGACTGTGCTCCTTAGCTCTCTGCTTTCCCTAGAACAGTCGCAGAATGAGTGTTACATCTGCAGTGGGAAAGCATTGTTCCTCCAGAAGGATCCCTCAGCACTGGCTCACAAGCAAGCACAGCTTGTTTGAGAAAATATTCTCTCCACTCACATCTGCAGGGACAGCTTCATTTGACAACATAATAGAAATGTGGCAGCTATTATCAAGGTTAACTGATAGGGTATGTCTGCAGAGAGCATCATGGGGTAGTACCCGAGTGGTCAGATATGCATACTTTGCAAGTGGTGCATCTCTTGGCCCTTTGCTGAAAGATCAGCTTCAGTGCTTACTTGGAGGTAAACCTGTCTCTTACTTAAGCCTTTGAGTTTTTCAGTATTTGGATATGCCAAATACCTGTTCAGGAAACAAACTAGCCCAGCCCTCCTGGCTCACGGGCTTTTAGTGTCAGGAGGACGTATGACTTAGGAAAATATGTAGTTTACTTACTCTGTTGGAGCAGAGTAGTGTGGGCTGGAAATCCCCATTAGCTTCCTCATACAGGGTTCTGCTGTGCCTGATCTGATTTGGATAGATGGAAGCCTAGGAAGGCTAGGCACAATCTTGTTCTGTGTGAAAGCTCAAGATGTGCCAAGCCACGTCCCTAAAGAAGCAGGCAAAATGCAGCAAGGCTGTCAGGCAGAGGAAACTGTTTTCTGCCAGGCCTACCTGGAGAGTGGCTACAAACTCCATGAGTCAGTGGTGGTGGCTATCCCTCCCACCTTGCAGAAGATTAAATCCATGGGGAAGCAGCAGGCATGGATAGATCTGTACATTTTGGACACCAGGGCTCTGACTTCCAGCTCTAGACTACCACTCTTTATTCATGTGAAGCAAGAAGATTCCTGAGCACAAGTCCCTCTGTCTCTCTGTTTCTCCACAGTGCAGCAGATGTTGTAGCTGTTAACCTGCCATGAGACCATCTCTCTTGTAAACTACAAAGCTGGCTAAAAGGCAATTGTCATGGTACAATTTTCTCCTGTACATCCAATGGATATCAAGGAGTGACCTGCAAGGAGCAGCAGGGAAGTTTTGATATCAGCCTCTGGATGCATGATAGCTCACAGCAATGATGGCTGTTGTGCTGATCCTGGCAAGTTCACTGCACAGCTATCAGATGTGGATGGGGGAGAGGTCAACAGTGAGTCATAGAAATAAGAATTAAAAAAAGAAAAATGTTTGGAGGATGTTTAGTTAGTATTTAAACCTCAATTTTTTTGAAAAGTTGAAGTAAGTACTTAAGGGACCCTGCTGATCTTGGCACTTCCAGATGTCACCACAAATCAGAGATGCTGGATGAAAGCTGCTCCCAAAACGTTCATGCTTTCATGATATGCGGTCAACTTTCCTTGCTCATCCAGCAGGATTAATGTGTACTGAATCATAGAATGGTTTGGGTTGGAAGGGACCTTTAAGATCATCTAGTTCCAATTCCCAACTATAGGCAGGGACACCTCCCTCTAGACCAGGTTGCTCAAAGCTCTATCCAGCCTGGCCTTGAATGCTTCCAGGAAGGGGGGCATCCACAGCCTCTCTGGGCAATGTGTTCCAGTGTCTCGCCACCCTCACAGTAAAGAATTTCTTCCTAGTATCTCATTTAGATCTACCCTCCTCCAGTTTAAAGCCATTTTTCCTTGTCCAGTCGCTACCTGCCCATATAAAAAGTCCCTCCTCAGCTTTCCTGTAGGCTCCTTCAGGTACTATAAGGCTGCTAGAATCTTCCTGAAGCCTTCTCTTGTCCAGGCTGAAGAGTCCCAGCTCTCTTAGCTTGTCCTCATGGGGGGTTGCATACTGTATTTGTACCTAAGCTAAAAGGAAAAGAATGGGAAAATTACAGGAATCTTCTTCATGATTTGATGTATTGCATGCTGGGATGGCATCCCCTTGTCTGATAGGACAAGGAGAAATGGTTTCAAACTAAAAGAGGGAAGATTTAGACTGGATATAAGGAAGAAGTTTTTTACAATAAGGGTGGTGAGGCACTGGCACAGGTTGCCCAGAGAGTTGGTGGTTCTCCATACCTACAGACACTCAAGATCAGGCTGTATGGGACTCTGAGCACCTGATGGAACTGTAGGTGTCCCTGCTTATTGTGCAGGAGTTGGACTGGATGATCTTTAAGGGTCCTTTCCAATGATTCTATGATCTTCTAGACATTCTTCCACTAACTGCTATAGCAGAGCCTTGAAATTCAACAGCACAGCCATTATGCAAATAACAATTTGTAAACTCCTCCTACAGTCCTCCACTGTTGTGAAGGGAAAAAACAGGAACACTTTTATTCCCCTGGTGCTGGCGGTAACTATGGGCGACTCCCCTGCGGTGAAACTGAGTGTTCAGGCACTACATGGGACTCTAAATTATCTTCTGGGAAGATGTAAAAGAAACTGTGGAATAGTATTTGGGCTGAAAGCTGTTCTGGATAGGACAGAGTGGGATTTCTTGGCAGCCTGCACGGCTGGATCCGGGCAGCAAGCCCTGGTCCATTCTGTGCCACTGATTACCTGGTAGCTCTCTCCATCTAACTAACAGTGTCTGTCAGCCTTGTATAACCAGCTCCTCACTGCACACAGCAGTGACGTAGGCCACGGTTTTAAGTTGTAAACATAAAGCCAGGCTGCCCTGAGGTCCAGTGCTGAGAACAAAGCAGGGGCAGTGGCTTGGACAAGCCTTTTCCTGCAGAAAGAGCAAGTAGGCACTGAACAGTTCTGCATTCAGCAAAGCGGGAGTCATATTGAAGGAAAAAGTCCTGGGAGTGAAATTTATCTGTGTGCTGGTCTTGCCTTTGGCAAGCCTGAGAATATTCTAATTGGAGGTGGAAGACGGGAGGAAGTTGGGAGCAGAGGAATCATTGAAAATGCAAGTAAAGCACTGCAGTCCCATAGTGGCATCTAACAAGAAACCTTGCCCTCTCTGTGTCTGCTTGTATTGCCCCACTTTTGCAGAAACACTTCTGCCAGCCAACACAGGGCAACCTTGTCTGGGACTTGCTGCTTCTGGGCTCTAGTGCCACTGCTGTCCTCTGGTTTCTCTGGCATGGAATGGCATGCACAGAGCATTATGCCTCATTGTAGGGTGAGGCACAGACCTGTTCTTTGTACAGATTTGGTGTCTGAAAACTCATTTTCTCTGGCTTTCACTCAGCAGAAGACTTTAAAGGAGTTCTAATGCTACTGCAGGAATCATAGAACCAGAGAATGGCCTAGCTTGAAAGGGACCACAATGATCATCTAGTTACAACCACCCTGCTATGCGCAGGGATGCCAAATACTAGACCAGGCTGCCCAGAGCCACATCCAGCCTGGCCTTGAATGCCTGCAGGGATGGGGCATCCACAACCTCCTCAGGCAATATGTTCCAGTGTGTCACCACCCTCTGTGTGAAAAACTTCCTCCTAATATCTAACCTAAACCTCCTCTGTCTCACTTTAAAACCATTTCCCCTTGTCCTATCCCTGTCCACCCTCATAAGCAGCCATTCCCCCTCCCGTGAATGTGCTCCCTTCAAGCACTGGAAAGTCTCCCCAGTGCCCTCTCTTCTCCAAGCTAAACAAGCCCAGTTCCCTCAACCTTTCTTCACAAGAGAGATGCTCCAGCCCTCTGATCATCTTACTAGCCCTCCTCTGGACCTTCTCCAAGAACTCCATGTCCTTCCCATACTGGAGGCCTCAGGTCTGGATGCAGTATTGAGTCAAGAGTTGAGTAGAGAGGCACAATTGCCTCCCTCTCCCCACTGGCCACCCTTTTTTTAGTGCAGCCCAGAACACAGTTGGCCTTCCGGGCTGCAAGTGCAACTGCTCACTCATGTCCAGCTTCTCTTCCACCATGACTCCCAAGTCCTTCTCCACAGGGCTGCTCCACCATCTGCTCTGAAGAAGATCTTCCCTGTTTGTATAAATGCCTGGGATTGCCCCAACCCAAATGCAGCACCGTGCACTTGGCCTTATTGAACCTCATTAGGTTTTCATGGGCCCACTTCTCCAGGCTGTCCAGGTCCCTCTGGATGGTTTCCCTTCCTTACAATGTATCAACTGCACCACTCAGCTTGGTGTCATCCGTAAACTTGTTGAGGGTGCACTCGATGCCACTGTCTGTCGCTAATCAAGGGCATCATCCTGAGGGACACCGCTTGTGACCGATCTCCACCATGACACAGAACCATTGACCACAACCCTTTGGCTGCATTCAGACAACCGATTTCTGATCCGTCGAACAGTCCATCCCTCCAATCCACACCTTTCCAATTTAGAGAGAAGGATGTGGTGAGGGACCACGTCAAAGGCTTTGCAGAAGTCCAGGTAGATGACATCCATCGCCCTTCCCCCATCCACTGAAGCCATCAATATTGTAGAAGGCCACCAGATTGGTCAGGCAAGATCTGCTCTTGGTGAAGCCATGCTGTTTTAATCACCTCTTTGTCTCATACGTGCCTTAAAATAGCTTCTAGGAGGATCTGCTCCATGATCTTCCCAGGCAATCTTGGAGAATGATAATGCCACAGGCAGGGTGCAAGCAGGCAACACTGGGACTCATGCATATATGAGATTGGATGAGCCTCACTCTTGGCCAAAAGACAGTGCTACATTCCCTCTCTTCTACATGTGATGCACTTGAATGTTAAGAACAGGGCTGCTCCATTGATATCTCTGAACTCCTACTCAAAACAAGCAGGTCTCAGGATGGGAGCAGTGAGTTTGGAGTGGTTTCTGGACAGCAGTATACCCAAAGTGGTTTAGGAGAATGCTGTACATTGGAGGTTGTTTTTTTCCCCCTCTGTGTTGATGACATGTCATCTTTACTTCAGGGTCTGGCTACCATCCTTTAAAATAGAGATGTAGACAAATTGGCAAAAGGCCAGAGGAGAACAGCACTAATTGTTAGAGCTTTAGAAAACATGACCTCCAAGGAGAGGTTGGAGAATTCAGGTGCATTTAATCTAGGAAAGACAGTATTAGTGGGGGAGGGAGAAGGATGTCATGGTTTCTCAGTACATGAAAGCTGTTGTCAAAGAAGGATGATTGATTTATTCTTTCACTATCACTGGGGGGGAGGGTGGGAGATGATGAGACAATCAACTACGCTTGTACTGCAGAGAAGGTTTAATTTGGATATTCAAGTAAAGCTTTCTCATTGCAGTCAAATGCAAGAGATTGTTCAGGGGTGCAAGAGAATTTCTGATACTGGGGGTTTTAAAGAAAGCCTCCACTAAAGAAGTTTTAAGTTTGAGTCTGCTTCTGTGAAGGATGTGGGCTGTGCCACCTCCCAAGATCCTTGTCAACCCTTTGTTCCTGTAGTTTGGGCTGGAGCGTAGACTTGAGGCTGAAGCCTGTCCCTTAGCAACTGCAAGCCTTTGCTGTGCCAGCAATGCCAGGTTCACATACTCAGAGATGCAAGAACCAGGCTCTTCAAAGCACTGGCTGTAGTTTATAAAAGTGATGTGGCTTTAGTAGATAATAAGTTACATTTGACTGCTCACTGTTCTTGAGTCTTTGACTGTTTCTATATTGTAGTTGGAAATCTAATGGCAGAGAAATCCAAACTTGCTCTAGTTTAACTTTCTGGGCTAGGAGTGAAGAAAGGGCGATGTGAACCACGGCGCAGTCCAGCTGCCCAAGTCACCATATTGTGTTTGGAGGCACATTACATACACTGAATTTTGTGCTACAGATTTTGCTTCCTCCTGCGGCTGAACTACAAGGCTGAAAACTGGAAGAAATGCCTTGATCCAGGCTGCCATCACCCCTGGCTGCAGTGAAAGCAGACAGGCTTGATCTTTCCTCTGCAGTTGTGCTATAGGGATTGCTTCTGTAGCAACACGATGCTGGGTTCTGGGGCTTTAAAACATTATAAAATAAAATGTGAAAGTAATAACTGGTTGCTGGAAAAATATTGCAGATTAGCACAACTTGTTCTCTACCTTGGCTGTTTTTGTATTTGACAAGTATCACTTGCAGAAAAAGGACTGATTTTATTATAACTCTTTTGTCTGCTTTCCTTCCAACTTCCCCTGAGAACATTTTTCACAGACGTCAAACTGCTTTGAGGACAAAATGTTGGTGACTTCTCCAGTGGTGGTGAGAAATGGAGATGCATGGCAGTGCTGTTCACTGATGGAAGAGGCAGTTTCTCACTGTCCCTCGCTTGTGAACTTGCCTACAAACCTTTCCAAGGCATAAGCATTTCTCTAAGGGCTAAAGGTCTAGTTTGCAGATAAAAGCATAAATCTTTAATATCAGGTTTTCTTTTGCATTTTTCAGATCTGCAGATGCAGAGCTCTGCCTTTTGAACAAATTCAGATGACGTTATCCTGTATTTTAAATACCCTACTTTTTGCATCCCTCTTGCCTGAAGCTATTAACATTGGCAGAATTGATGTCCTTTGTTTATTCTGTGTACTACTTACAGCCTGAATGTTGGACAGCAGCCGATCTAGTTTCTCTCTGGGCTGTGGTAAGAGGTAGAGCGAGTATTTTCTGCTGGCTGTGTATGCACGTGTGCTGTCCTGAGGAGGTGGAAGGGCAGTCTTCAAGTTAGAATGGAGGTAAAATGGCTTCCTGGCAATCAAGCCAAGGGTAGATCCAATATAGATCTTTGCATACCTTCATCTCTGGAGTGAGTTGACAAATCCATATCCCAGGGGATGGAAGTAGCTCATGAAGCTTCCCACTTGCTGTGATGGATGGGGTATAGAGGTCTTGGCAGTGCCCAGAGTGGCCACTGGGAACATTGCTGACTGGGCACAAGCTCTGGGTGCGGGTGAGCACAGGCTGATGGGGAGCAGCACGATGATCTCCGCTCCAGCACTTGTCTTGGAGCTGGGAGTTGGAAGGTCTGGATCTTATCCACAGCTCTGACACTGAGTCACTGCATGACCCCAGGCACTCAGATACCATGGTGATGAACACAGCACAAATGTCTAGACAGATAGATTAGATTGGATAGTCTCTGCATTTGACAAATATTTGCATATCACCGCTGTCAGTGCTTCCTATTGCCACTCAGGCCGGTTGTTTCAGTGGGTCGCTTGCATGGCAGGGGTGAAGAAAAGCTTTTTTTCCTCTCACCAAGAAAGGAAAGGACACCTGACCACAGTACCACATTCACCAGTATTGACAAACTGGAAGCAAAGAAGACAGCAGGGCATCTCTTGGAGGAAACAACACTGGCATTAACTGAGCAGTGGGGCTCAGAAGTCAGGAGCTGGCTTCTCCCCAGCTCTGCTGCAGCCCTGACACAGCCCCATCTTTCCTCTTGCAGCCAATTAGTCAGTAAGGTCTTCAGGGCAGTGATACTTCCTGCCATAGCTGCTATCACTACAAGGTCCTGAGTGCAGAAAAAAAGACAAACTACTTGAAGTGAGACTTCCTGAAGTGCTTTACTGGTGCTGCTGTCAGCCTCTGGCACAGCGCAGGATGTGAGAAGGTTGGCTGTCACAGAGTAACTTGTGGTTATTTTCCCACCTGGTTCCTTTGTAATAGATGAGCAGAGCAATACAAGGATGTGGCTGGGAGCCTGCATGGGGATTTCTGGAGGCTCTGCAAGGTTTCCTGAGCACCCTGTCCCTGGCACCACTGACAGCGAGCCAGGAGTGCTGCAGAAGAGCACTGCCTCTTTCAGGGGATTTGCCTCGCAGGGTCTAATTACAGTTGTTGATTCTGATGTTTTCAGTGTTGTTCATATTCCATTAAAAGATAATGCTGCTTAATTTGCAGCAGAGGGTCTTGGTTAACAGTACACCCAATCACAAGGCAGCCCTAATGACACTACTTTCCTACTTCTGGAAACATATAATTAAAAAAATCACTTCATTTCCAGTTGTGTGGTTCTCCCCTCTACCCCAATCTCCTAATTACTTTCTAAGCCATTTCATGATTATCTGTAAATATTCCAGCACTTAGATCTACTAATGAGTCCATGGAAGAGTTAATACCTTGAGTGGCAGAGCTGCTTGCCTTTCCCTCACTTGTACTACACTGCAAGGAAGCATTTTCTACCTGGCACATGTGAGAAGAGGACTGTTGGCTGCAATGGAATTGAGTTTGACTGTGGAGCAGTGGGGATGACAGGGGACTGGTGGCTCTCAAATCTTATCCCTAGCTGCTGTAGGTAGAGCTTGTGCTAGTTTCAGCAGCGGATGCGTATCTCTCTGCAAATCATTTCACAGCTTAAGTGAAGGATGGTGTACCCTTATGCCAATGGTAAAATGGGGAATTTGTTCTCTAATCCCAGCACTACTCTTCGCTTCCCTGAAAAGCCACAGTAGAAATGCTAGTTTCTAACTTAATGGATCTGTTTCCATTACTTGTCTGGTGTCTTGGGTATTAAAACTCATCTGGGCTTTGTTTGGTATGGCAGTGCTGGCAGGAGGATGGAGAAGTGAGCTTGAGTATCTTTCCTGCCTATGTGCTGCATGGATTTGATGCTCTGTTCTGTGTATAGTCAATCAGCAACACCTTTTGCAAGACCTCTGAAAGCCTGCTGATGTCTCTGAAGGTGTTATTTAGAATAACTAGAGATAATTGTATAACTAGGGGGAGTGATTAACTTCCAAGAATTAAAGAATCAAGCTGGGAGTCAGACAAATCTATTCTTCTCTAATAATCTGAGCACATGTGACTTTGAAATTCTGGGTACTTGCAGAATGTGAGGCTGCTTCAAGTCACATCCATGCATTTCTACTCAGTGCTGTAATAGAAGGCAGGAGGAGAGAGCCTGGATATGGTCCTAACCTAGTCTGTTTGTCTTTCAGGTAACCCTGTCACAGTGGGAATGAGCATCCATATCTCCAGCATTGACCAGATCTCTGAAGTCAACATGGTGAGTTTGGGATGAAAACAAACAGAACAAAAGGCTAATAAAATGTTTTACCTTTTCCTGGTTGAGATGCACATCCAAGACAATCTCTCCTTGGAGTCACCTGAGCTGCCAGGGTGCCCTGACGAAAAGAAGGCCAGTCAACTTTGCTTCCTTAAGCTCCTCCTGCAGATCTTCCCTGCAACTATTGGGAAGTTGTTGGAGAAAAGTTGTAATTTCTGATACAAAATGCGTTTTTTTTCTCATTGGACATAGGATTACGAGAGATATTGTACGATGGCTTGAGACAGCTCTTCATCACTAAAGCATAACAAATTCAAGCATGATTTCTTCATGTGCAGTGTGATAAAAAAAGAAAGTTCAGCACATCACCAGGCTGTACCAAATGAGGTCTCCAAACTTTTCTTTCTGGTTTCTGTCTGAGCCTTGCTTTTCCACCCACTAATTGGCCTGTGTCACTACTGGCCCCACAGCCCAGCTCCAGACCAAAACAATTCTGAAATTAAGCCCTCACAAAGCAAGGCTGGTGTGATGGACCTCTGGTACATGCCTGTATCTGCTGGTAGTATTTGTGATGTGATTGAAGGACTGTAGTTTTCTTCCTGATGAAACAAGTCCTGGAAAGGTTAGCATTCACTAGCTCAGAGAAGCATCCTGAGTGTCATCTGTCAATATGAAGAAACTTGGCTGGCATCTCTGGAACTAGTTACAACTTATCCAGCGTGGACTCTCATCTCTTTTCATTTTGTGCCAGTCATTTCCTCTAGCCATTAATGCTTACTTCTTCAAAGAAGATGCTTGTATTTTTCTGGTGGCACAAAAGCAAGAGTAGCTTTACAGTCAGCCTGTGACTGCAAAGATGGAAAATGGGCAGTGGCTTTGTATGCTTTCTGGTAGTGATTTGGCATTTCTTTAGAGATCTCTACTGGGAAGGGAGGCATCTTAGAGCAATCTGCTTGCTTGGGGTGGCATTTATAGGCTGGAGCTTTTCCTACCACTGAAAAAAAATGTTCTCTGCTCAGATAACAGATTTCACCCCATTGCATTGCATTGATCTGTCACTTAGACCTACCTTCCTCCCTCCTGCCCAGAGGCTTTTTCTCCAAGTCCCTCTGCATGCCATGAGGATGCATGGGGACCATTCGGCAGCAGCTGTCCTATTCCTCATTCCTGACCCATGCAGGGTGTCCTAGGCCAGCTTAGAGCTCTTGCTGTTCAGGACTGTTAAAATCTTGATCTCCCAATGCTCCTGTTCTATTTATCTGATTCTGGACTCCCCTGCCCTGTTTTCTCTAGTCCAACCTTTACTATCATTCCGTGTATGGCACGTTACACCTCAGTGTTAATAGTGACACTGAGCAGCATGTACATACAAAAATTCAGGTAACGCTCTCAGTCCCTACTGCGTTGGGTAACTGTGCTTGAGGTTAAGCTCAACTTCAAAAAGGCAAATGGCTTAACCCAGTTCCATCTATCCTGCCTGTCAGGACAAAGCTCAACATTAAGTCACCTCCTCCCCCAGTCTCAAGTTGGACCTGAATTTTCCTACATGGCAGCTGTCACCTTCCTTGCTAAAGTCAGAATGAAAAATTTGGGGTCTGGAAATATTGTATAAGACCCCAGATTGCACAAATGTAATTGCAGGAAGTGAAGGATTTATTCTCAGCTTAAGTGCTACAATTACCCTGATCTTCCTGTATGGATATCAGAAGAGAGCTAAATGCTTCAAGTTCAAGATGAAGCTCCTGCTGGAGGTGTGTCCATGGGCTGTAAGGTCTTAAGTCTTTTGCCACACACCTGCTGTAGTCAGGCATGCTGTATACTGTGCTAGCAGCCATTCTCTTAGCAATATGTCCAACCCTTTCCTCGTGAGAGCAATGCTCTCCCCGTTCCAGTGAACACCATATCTCCTCTGCAGAAGGACTGCTGGGGCAAAAGTGTATGATTAAGATTGTAGAGAAACCTCTGTGGAGTGTAGGGGAGAGCAGGTTAACCTGCTCTGACCTTCATCTGCACATCACTCTGAGTCTTACAGAATGTGGGCAGAACTGCTGATGGACACTGAGTGTTTCTGTAATCATGGCATGGCTGCAACCAGAGTGAGCACTACACACTGCTTAAGCCACACATCTGTTGATGCTGCCATGGCATGTCGCTTCCATGCTTCTGATTATCTCCTGGTTCTCTATAGAGGCTGACAAGCACACAAACTCCTAGTCATTCTTCCCGCCTGTGTTTGCAGGATAACCCACTCAAGATCAAGACCTATAAGAAATGTAGCAAGGAGGCTTTGAAAGGGGTTAAATGATGAGAATCAAAATCAAACCTACAGGGAGCAGAATCTCATGGGATGCAGTTTTCCAGGCAGAAGAGATTTACGTGCATCATTCTGGGTGACAGATGCCCTGGGGAAAGGGCCATGTCCTACCCCTGCTCTGGACATGGTGACTGGCAAGAAAAACAAGGCATTTTTTGGCATTGTGTGTGACTGGGGAAGGGACTGTGCAATGAATAAATTAAAGGCACACAAGTGGAGCCAAGTTGTCATGGCAACCAAATAGCTTCTATTGTTCCACAAGGAGTGTTATTACTTACTGCCCCTTGTAGGATAATTAATTAATCCTCAGACATCCTTTCTGGAACAATGGGTTGGGCAGGCTGAGGAGAACCCCCAGCTCTCCCATGTGCCTGTCCCTGGGACTCCTGGCATTTACTGGCTGCACAATGGTAGGGAACAAGTGCTGCCAGTGCCTGGCCATAGCATGATTCAAGAAGTTGTTTTCCACAGGACTTCGGCTGGATGTGGTGCTTTAGAAGAATGCAGCTCCATCCACAATCTAAGTGACACTCTTTGCCTCTGCTCCCATGGGAATGGTATTGCCGAAATGATTATGTGATGACATTTCAATCCTGGAGGCTACAGGGCTACGCAAAGACAACACAACTGTGTCATTACCCTGGAAGTTCCCAGACACCACAGAACACACTGCAGTAGCCTGTACAAGCTCAGTGTCTCCTGGTTCCTTGTTGTATAAAGGCAAAGCATCTTATCTTCTTGAGGGCCATGCCCTGACACCGTGACATAGTACAGTGCAGATGGAGTCACACTGGGTTAAAAGAGGCTCCTAGGTGCACTGCTGGCTTTGTAATGATCTCCTAATCATGAGGGACCAAAACTATTGTCCTTATTTTAAAAAATGATATCTCATTCACCACAGCTGCTAACTGTGTGTGGCCAGCCGTATTTTCAAGCTCACTTGCTCAAGTAATGCTTTATTGCTGTGTTCTCCTCTTAGCTCTGCTAAGCAATGCTGAGCTGCAGCCTCTGTTCTTGTCATTGATTAGAAGGATTATTTGCTGAGCCAAGATCAGTGACATCAATTGAAATGCTTGGGAAAAGGTGGCAGGGGCCAGGCCAAGTAGGTACTGGGGAGAGCACACTTGAGTGGCAGATCCTCTGGGAAGTGCTGATCCATGAAGATGAAAGGCCTGGTTGGAGAATTCTCAGGTCTTGTATGAATTTGCAAGTTGGGATTTTAAAGGCAGCCTGAAAAGAGTAACACCTTCATAATGATGCTCTGTAGCTCAGTGGATCTGCTAAGAACAAGAGGATGGTACTTCTTAGTTTCCTCTGAGGAAACAGGCTGGGGAAGTTATTCGGTTGGATCCAGCTCTGATGGTATCCAGCATCAACTGCTTCAGGAGCTGGAAGTCTTTCCTGCATGCCCTTCAGCAGACAGCTGAAGAACTGGCCCAGTCTGCCCACTTGCTGCAGGGTGGGAGTGGAAGCTGCTATTTCCACCTGCAGCCTTGCCTTCCTTATCTTCAGGGATGTATTTTTCCAGTACCAGACAGTTCAGATTCCCTTCAAGCATTCATGAAAGATTTCATTAAGTAAAACAACCAGACATATTGTGTTTAGAAGAAGAGATGGTTATCCTTCATAATGCTTCAATTTCCCTGCCCTATGATCTCTGCATTCCTAAACCTGCTCCCCCTGTGTATCTGCACACCATAAGCAACTTGGAGCATGGAGCCGCTGTCATCATGATTTCTTCGTGGCTCCTATAATTTATTCATCCCAAGATGCTCTCCTACATCTGCAATAACATTGTTTCAGTTTGTTATAGCACTAGCTTTAAAGTTTTATAAACCTGGTGACAAGTTGAAAAGTTACAAGAGGATTATTGTAGAGGGCTAGCATAAGAAGCAAGGCTTCCATAAAGAACCATTTGCAGGGATATACAAGGTGTTAAAGCAGTGATATTTGTGGGACTGGTGATACATTTTGCTGGGCAACAGTCCGCAGTGCAGAGAGGTTAGTGGCTGGTGCAGGATGCTTGGCAAAGCTAACCTCGATATTTCACTTCATTGCCTCCTGTTCCCTACTCTTCTATCACCACCTCTCACCACACTGCTGCCTGACAGGAGAGCCAGCAATCGGCTGATCACTTGGAAATTACAGGCAGATAGCAGACACGATACCTCCTAGTTTCTTGAAGTTTGATTGAAACCGAAGAAACCAAATTGTCTTGTTAGGAAGATAAGTTACCCCTGTTCAAGAGGTATGCAATGTACGTCCCTGGAAAGCTATGAGCTGCAAGCGTGTTAAACTTCCTTTTAACCAAGGAAAAAGATGGTTTGTGTTTTGTAACACAAGGGAAAGCATAACACAACAGCAGAGCAGCAGGACCCCCAGCTGCAGCAAGTGACAGCTCAAATGCAATAGCCACAGAAAAAAGTGAAGGGGGGGGGGGGGGAAAGGGGGGGGGAAGAAAAAAAAAAACTGCTTACCTTCAGAAGACCTCGGGTATGCAAGAAGCTTCAGTAAGATGCCCTTGGTTCTACTGCCAACCCTTAAAAGAGGTCTGGGAAGGGGTGGATCCTGTCTCCACACCTTCTAGTCATTAGGTACATTGCATGCACCTGAGCAACCCTGGGTTGGCCCTGCCTTCCCACCAGGTGCTCAATCACTGCTTCAAGCCATGACAATTCCACTACAGGTGTGTAAGGGTGTTCTTGTCCAGAAAAGATCATCCTACAGACTGTTATGCTGCCATCAGGGGGGTGCACCATTCTCTCCACTATGTCAAAGATTCCATTTATCAGGAATGTCTGAAATGGCCCAAGTAGAGGAATTTTGTAGATTAATCTGTCCTGATCAGGCTTTGTATCCTGTTTTCACTGGAGTATGAATGTGCCTAGCTGAATCCCAAATCAATATAACTCACACACATTAGTACATAGGTGATTCTGCTGTGTGCTGAATGTAATTGGTGAAAGAAGGCAGCATAGATGGATAGACTTGGTATGAGAGACAGCAGCTTCTTCGGCTACAGGACGCACGGGCACATCTTTTGGCCTTTGATTGCTTTCCAGTGGACCAACTGTACATCAGTAGCAGGCAGAAAACATAATATACACCTGGAGAGGATTTTCCATTGAAATGCTTGTCATGAGTTTTAAAACTTAAGTTTTTAAGGAGAGATTACTGCTACGAATGTTATACTACCACATATTCTCTTCAAATATATCAGCGTTTTTCATATTTATCTGAAATTATTCTGCTTTGTTGGCAACTACTTTCAATGGGGGAAAAAATGATAACATATTTTCCAATCAGTCTGTTCTATGTATCTGGATATGCAAAGGCTTTAAAGGTTCAAGTATTCAGAACCTACAGTCAGAGGTTTCTGGGTTAAATGCTGTAAGTATGACAAGACATTCCAGTACTGTAATGGTGTCCCTCTAGCCTCAACTATCTCCTGATTCACAGCACAAAACACAGCAAATATGCATCTTTGGTGCATAGCTGAATGGGTGGTGTGTTGTAATAGTACTGCAGAGGCTGAGTCCTGTTGGATTTGCTGTAGGCTCCTGCGATGGCAGGTAGCAGAGGATGCCTTGGTGCTGAAGAAGGGCCAAATTCTTATAGTGTAGCATAAGCATGGTACAGCTCTGATGCACCCAGATTTTGTGGTGGCATGGACAAATAGGAGTTGTGCTTTGTTTCATGTGCTAGAGGATTCGGTGTGCTGTCATTTAAACTGTGATACTGCAAGCATGTGGCTGAGATGGTAGGTTTCTTCGGAGCTGGCAATGGTCAGTGCCTTCCTCTGCCAATGATTGCCTCAGTACCACTTAGGTCATGCAGCAATTGTCACTTGCATGCAGGGCTGTAATGCATTGGGTGGTTGCTTGCTTGGAAAATCAAACAGTAGCAGTTCTGTACATATTAAGTGGTATTTTCCTGAAGGAGAGAATTAACAGGGAATGAGAAGGAAGGTCCTGCTCTATGGCTGTGAGCAGTATCCTCTGCAGGGTGCCATGCAGTCACCTGGGTGGCTTTCTCCAGCAATGGAAAGTAACTTCTACATAAACACACAACCCCATGCTAGCTGAAGGGAAGCAGCAACATCCCTTCCTATTTCTATTTTTCCTATTGTCTGTGTGTTGCTTGAAGAAATAAAGACAGTTGTAGAAGGGGAGAGAGAAACTCTAATCCATAGCAAGAACCCACCTTCACTGCTATTTCTAGACCTTACTTGTTTTGCCTATTCCTCCAGCTGTCATCCCATCATAGACTGCTGGGTCTCAAGGTGATTTACCAGCACAGTTTGAAAAGCCAAGAGCTGCTTGTGGATATCTGCTCACACCACATTCTACTTTCTCAGAAATCCTACTGATTGTACTTAAAGATGCAGAATTAAGTCATAGACTCATTTGAGTTGGAAGGGACCCTTAAAGTTCACCTAGTCCAGCTCCACCTACAGCTCCATCAGGTGCTCAGAGCCGCATCCAGCCTGACCTTGAGTGTCTCCAGAAATGGGGCGCCACCGCCTCACTGGGCAACCTGTGCCAGTGACTCACCACTCTTACCGTAAAAAACTTCTTCTTATGTCCAATTTAAATCCCCCCTCTTTTAATTTGAGACCATTTCCCCTTGTCAAATTACAACATACCCAGCTAAAGAATCTGTCCCCTTCTTTCTTACTGCTCTTCTTTAGCTATTGAAAGTCCACACTCAGGTCTCCCTGGAGCCTTCTCTTCTCCAGGCTGCACAGCCCCAGCTCTCTCAGCCTGTCCTTGTAGGGAGGTATTTCATCCCTTGCATCATTTTTGTGGCCTTCCTCTGGATGCCTCCAGCAGCTCCATGTCTCTCCTGTACTGAGGACTCCACATTTGGATGCAGCTCTCCAGCTGATGTCTCAGTGCAGAGTAGAGGGACAGGATCACTTCTCTCAATCTGCTCACCACAGTGCTTCTAATGCAGCCCAGGATACAGTCGGTTTTCTGGGCTGTGAGGGCACATTGCTGGCTCACATCCAGCTTGCTATCTACCAATATCCCCAAGTCCTTTTTGACAGCCCTTAGATTAAGGTACTGTACAGATTAAGGAGACAAGAAAAGCATCAGGTCTGAGGGAACTTCTGTGTGATGAGATGTGGGAGTGGCTGCTGAAATTCAAACAAGCAGTGCTCCCATCCCTGCCCCAAAACATGATCCTTCCATAATAGGGTGGTGATCTTGCACAAAGTAGTTAAGAAAAAAGCAAACTGTTGTGAAGGATCCTGATGTACTCCACATTCTTGGTTATGAAATTAGTTACAAAGAGATTGGCTTGGGTTAAAAACTGGAAAATAGGTCAGTGTGACTCATATGTCAATATGTACTGTATTTATGGCAACTTGTAGAAGGGAAAAATCTTATCTATCTTCCATAATACTTTGCAAATCATTCTATTCCAATGACAAAATTCTCCCTACATTTTTGGCCTTGATATTGGCCACATGTAGAGACAGCCCAATGAATTCACTACATCTTAGAGTCAAGTTGCTAAGTAACAACCCAAAGATCACCATACCATTTCTTCAAATGCAATGGCCAGAAGAAAGCTAGGACCTGCACAAGGAGCCAGAAACTCCTTCTGAAATGGAGGTCCCATGGATTTGAGATGTGTATGCAGAGGGCAATCTGGTAAAGCAGCAGTCCTGCTTGGATCTGTCCTCATGGGAGTGGGGGAAAGCTTTATGGCATCTCCTATAATGAAGTCCCCTGTGTTTGTGCTGAAAGGCTCTAATGTCTTTGTCATTAATGATGTTCTGGAGTGAAATATTTTTGTTGGCTTTATTGCATGATTTTACCATGGACGTAGATCAATTGATAATGAGCTGTGGAAGCCTTGCTGAAATAAGCTCTCAGCTGAAGAAAAACTGGGAGCTGCTGAGCTAGAGTATGACTCCTTCCCCCCGAGGCTTTCTATTCCACCATGCAGATTTCCTCCTAGAAATCCTGTAGCATTCGCAGGATAAATTAATGGGAGGTTATGCAGGAAACCAGTTATCTGTGCAACTGGAATAGATTGGATATGGACAAGCAGTTGGATGGACTGGCTGATTCCTAGATCAAATCTGGGATTTTGCAGCACTAATAAGATGTGCTGGTGCTGCTTATTGAGTATAAGCATTTACACATCCCCATTAAGCATCTTTCCATTTTGTCATTTTTCCTAAGGAGCAGCTCTGCAAGTCCTCCAGTATCACAAGTCTGAACCTCAGCAGGGCTTAATCAAACCCACTTCTAGGACTGAGAATGAGTTCAGATGCCTGGCTCAATGGATGATTTCCCCCATCTGAATATTCTGTGCTCTCAATGAAGAGACTTCATGTTCACACTGCATTTCGTAGATGACTCTACCCCACAGCAGGAAAGAAGTCATATTGGAGAGGATGAGAGTCCATGGCTATATGGTTTGCAGCACGCTTTCAGCTGAACAGTGCTATGTATTGCAGTGCTCCATCTGTTCCTGAACAAGCCAAGTTATCTTTAGATCTGAACATGTCAGCGTTGTATGGCAGTGGTATGAACCACTTCAGCTTGCACTGTGGCATTCCTGTAGTAGTTAGAATTGTTACTGCAGAAAATTCTCCTGGATGATTTTTTCCTGCTTCGGTTTTTATATTAGAGGCAGAACTCCCACAGCCTTTATGTATATATTTATATATATATATATATTTAAAAAGCTGTCTGTATTTGAGAACAGGGTTCTAAATGGCCACCTGTTTCAATAGCAATGCTGCAGCACTGGAGAAGATTACTGCAGAAGTATCTTCCCACAAGCAAAGATTTCAATCATCTGGTTGATTGAAAACCGTATTAGATCTTGTGGATCTGACCTGCTGACATCTTGTCATATATATATTTATAGCATGCAGCAGTGGAATGTGCGTGCGCAAGAGTGCCAGCACCTCAATATAGAACCCAGCTCTGAATACAAGGGCGTGCGTGTCGTGTTGCTATTTGAATATGTAAATAAATGGGGCTATATATAGCTCTATATGTTATGTACATGTTGAGTGAAGGTGGCAGATACGACAGCTGAATAGCTTTGCTGTTTCTGAATGCTGATATAGGCTCCCTGCGTGCTCCCTACATCTCTCGTGCTCGCTCCTGCCACTCTCAGCCTTTCTGCTATCACATTTTTCAGGCCTCTGGAGAAGATTGTGTGTGGGGACAGGAGCTGTTAATATTCTGAGTCTGTGCAGAGTTGCTAGGCTACAGAGAAAAATGAACATTCAAGGAAAAGTGATGGTGAAAGGGAAAGGATCTGCTGAGCTGTTTGTAGATCCAGAAAAGCCTTCTTAGTCAGATGAAAGGGATCGTTTTGGGGAAGGAGGTAGTGCATGCATGTGGGATGAAATGCGGGCTCTCGGGGTGTCTCCAGCCAGAAAACTGTCAGGAAAAGAAGTGAAAGGTGGGATCCTACAACCCCTGCTTCCTTCCACACCACTGCCTGCAGGGCACATGCAGGTGGCTGCCTTCCATCTGCCAGGGAGCAGAGGGCCACTAGACT